GAAATTTAAGTGTAATTACAGCTTTACTCACCATCAAACTATTCTCCCTGTTCAGGAAATAACCGGCGTTGGGCCGACTGACTTGGAGATGCCTATGCCATTATGTGGATGCAATCAATAGCACCGACAACGCCAGGAAAATGGCAGTTAATATAACATTGTTGTTGGTTGGGTCTGCAGGACAGCCTCTCTTGTTGAACGAAATGACATGTATTGCTCCTTTCTCATTGCAATGGCTATTGATATAGACTTCACAAGGCGGGACACTGTTTCTCGGGAGGCCTTCTTCATCCCGATGCATCAATTGAAAAGAACCTGAAAATCAAGATGAAAAATAAGTTGATACAAAATTACTATTTCTCTACCTCCGTTACATCTATCAGCAAATGTATATCAACAGGAAAGAGACACTTCTGTCCATTTCCTTTGGATGTTCATTGGATGATCCAAGAATGACACGCTTACCCATAGCTATCTACAGTTGGTCTCCGGAACATGCATCTGTTGACGACAATGACGTTGTCTGCCACGTAAGAGAAGATATTCTAAACATTTTTCTTTCGAATTGATCAGTTGTGTGGCTTTTGCGGTTTGTTGATGACGTATTTCATGAAATTTTCTTGACTGAATTTAATTTGAACTTATTATACGATACTCTATTATTATTTAAGAATTAATTTCTACTTATAAGAGCATAACATTTTCTTTATTTTTGTTCTTTGTGAGATCATGGAATGGTAAAATGTGTGATGTCATGAGATATTCCATCCAGGTACACGTATGTCTATTGTCTCTGCTTGTAGCTTATTTTATTTTATTTCCCAACCTGATATTCGTCGTAATTTGGGAGAAAAAGCGATGCCTTCACGACAACACCTGTCTACATGAACGTAAAAAAGATCGCTTAGATATGACGACCATCTTGAACGATGACGTCAATATTGAATAATGACATACTCTGACATAACGGGGTTTGACAGGCGGATAAATGTCAAATGACACAGTCATGTACATTGAACGGGAATGAAAAACCTTTATTTTCCCCTCCTCTAACACTAATATTTGCATATCACTAAAATTACATTTTTATTTTCAAGTATATTTCTACTCTTTATATTTCATCAAATTCGCAATTAATTTGTTTATTCCTCTCCCATTCTTACACCGAATTAAAAAAAAATTGAGAACAAATGAAAGAAATACAGAGAATGCTACGGAGGTAAAATAAGCTGAGTAAATTGTCAAGGAAAGTAACTAATATAATAGATGAAAGATCTAGATGAAAGAGATATGAAAAATTGTAATATCAATAAATTTAGCCTTCCGTAGTCGGGACAATAACAGCAAACACACAACCCCCCTTTTGTAAACCAAATTTCGTGTTCCCAGACACATTTAATTTCTTTGGCTAAATTTATTTTTAAACAGTACACTGTGTTATGCTTTAGACAAATTTCGTCGATATTTGTCAAGGAAATTAGGAGAAAATCTACTTCACCCATGTGTAATATCTCTAAACTTTCTATATATGTTATCCATTACTATCAACGATTTTGAATTAAAAGCCATAAAACGGATGCGTATTCTATTCGAAATGTTGTGATTTTCCTAAAGATAAAGATTAATCATATATCATCTCATTGTTACCCCAAATTATCCGTCAGGAACAACGGCAAAAGATAATGGTTCACATTTTTGAAATATAATAGTTGTTTGACTTTATATCAATTCAGCCTTATCCGATCGTTCCCTAATCTTACCAATTTTACATGTAAACACCACGCAATGAGTAAAGGTCTTCAAAGGAGTTTATTATTCCCTGGGCATTCTAACAATTGGCTAATTCTTAAGATGTATATTAAATTGAATACTGTATAACCAAAAGATTGCTCTACTGTAAGAAATGCTTAAATTGATAGAATAACTAATCAAGAATATTTCCAGATTACATAAGACGGGGTTAGAGGGTAGAGTCAAAGAACTAACAATTTCCAATTTGTAGTTGATTTGTCAAACTCTCCCAGCCAGGCTATATACGTTGTCATACATCACGTTGTTTGTTGCAATCATGAGACGGTATCCAGAAAGCCTCTTGAAATCTGTAAATCAGAAAAAATTCGAAATAGGTCATTATATAATCATGCTTATGTGCAAGGGGGAAAAAGCATGAAGAAACACTGCTAACATAGAATGGTAGGCACTTAAATACATTAACATGGCATACAAATTAATGAAACTATTCTACTTGACTGTATTGAGGCAAAATATACTCAGGATATATACTTACTCCTGAACGTTTGAATGTCTTTGTCTTAAAGAATGTTGATTAAATAGAAAGTGATATCTTAAAATGACTCTTTCCTCTTGCCAGGCTAATGCATTAGAACATATTAACAGGTGCTTAGAATATGAACTTAAATGATGAGTATAAGAAACCTTCACTCGTTGGTTTCGAGATTCTTTATCTTTGTAAAGTCTAAAATGTCGACTACTATGTGGTCATCTTTTTTTTCAAACTCTAAATTGAATACTGTTGATCGGTTGTTTGAATTACCATGCAATAACAAAACACATATGTTTAAATGAAAAAAAGAACCACTCTATAACGATAAAACAAACCTGGATTTGTTCAAATCCTTTCCCCTGTAAAATATATATATATATATTTTTTTTTTTGTTAAAGAAGTTATAATTTAAAATGGTCTTATATATATTTCCTCATTCCAAATTGCCATATTTCCAGGTTACTTGTATTTAAAAAAGATTAGAAAAATTCACATTGAGGGTCAATAAATTACTCGTGATTAAGCACATACTACCTGTCGCAGATTTCCATTTTCTGTCCCTTTTTTAGGGGTATCATGTCAACGAAGGGCAGAATCATAGTATTAATGACTACAAACGATTCGGACTGTTATACCAAATCTATCCCGCTCTGCGCTTTGTTGAACTAGTTTTATTTAATTTTAGTCATGTAAGTTCTCATGCCGTGGCTGAAGGATAAACCTCAACAGGCATGCAAGCCTTCAAAACGTTAATTTATGGTATTTTAGCTTGATAGGAATACTTTGGCTCTTTGCCTGCTTTGAAATGGAGCCTGGAAAAATTTGAAATGTAAAGTGTGATCATCGCATTTCTTCGACTTCCTTCCTTGTTTGTTAAAAGCAATTTGAAATGCATGTTTCTTCTTTAATATAACTTATTTCTTGGCAGTTTTGTTCTCATAGCGCATGTTGAAGTATGTGTAAACGGACATGTATTAAATTGACGTTTTGAAAGATAACATAATTAGAAAATGATACCAACATAATTTTGTTTCCCAATACATAACCAGAAAATAAAAGTGCCCAAAAGAGTAAATTATATTTTTTAATACTGCGTTACAGCTTAAAATAGTTTTAGAAGCTGATACAATTTTGTATCGGTTATCAACTGTTTTCCTCGAATAGAACGTTAATTCCATTGGTAATGCTGATAATAAAAAACACTAGCAATATCTGTTCATATTTTGAATTAAAAAGGGAACAACAATGCTGTTTCAATATGAAGCATTACTCTAACCTGGTGTAATTAGTAGATGCAACACATACATTTATATTCGTCTGGAAAGCATATTCATGAGTAAAGCAATATCGTTCACTCGAAACATCACCATTCAAGCTATATTTTATATTTAGCAGATAAAGGGTAGAAATGGAACCATCGATTAACAAAATTAATTATTGCTGTTTAGAGGTATACTTCTGTTTTGCAGATTGTAGTGATATTGGTGTTATGGCAACAAATTTAATTTGTTTTGATCTTAAAAACATCCTAATGAGTATTAGGATTTAGGGCTCAAAAATTAATCCTGAACCTTGTCACTAAATATGTTAAAAACAAACCAACAAACGTTGAAAAAGAAGAAAACTAAAAAAAGACATAGACACACATTTGGTTATTTCCTCATTGGCAAGATCCCAGAAATATATATTCCATATTATAAATAATAAAGATGATATGTGACACACTGACATTTTGATATCGTCTTTCTATTGACAGATGTAATTTAGTATGATTTTTTTTTCTTCATTTGTGCAATTATGTTATTTTTACTCAAAGGCATCACAAACAAAGATCCTGGTTAAACATATTGATAATGATACAATAATATCGGTTGACGCATTGCAAGTGGGTACTTCCTGTTTTTCTCTGATATAATGACTCTTTCCAGCGAAGATTGTTTATCTTTCTGTATTTCCTCATTGGCCGTTGAAACAAAAATTACGTGTGCGCGCCATTTTTTCTCGCACGTTTCCGCGCATATATTAGAAGGATGACGGAAACTTTTTTGTCATTAATTAGTTATTCTTGCTGTGAGTCTGAAGTGAAGATGACAGCGATGAAGTTCAAGCTGGTTTTATGCTTTCTCCTTGGCCTCTTCTCCATTTCATCAGCGCAACGTCGTGAGTATTATCCCAGTCTCTGTTCGATTCTTGCTCTGCACATATTTCTTGAATAATAAAAGTATTATACGAAGTTTTTATTTGCAATGAATGCATGCACCTAATATGTTTACAGATCTGAATTATCAATAATTGGCCTTTCGCGCTAACATCACATTTAAATAAATTACATTCCTTTGACATGCAATGAATAACCATTCCTGTTAAAAATAATTCCTTGATCTTGAAGCTGTACTGGGAGGGGGGGGGGGGGGGAATAAATGCACTTGTACAATAGGTGTATAGGTCTAGCCCAATTTTCCCAAACAACGTGTTTAAAACTTACGATACGATTACAAAGGTGTCAATCTTCTTATGCCTTTTAAACATAATCGTAAGAAACAATGAACTTCCAAAAGGCACCGTTAATGAATGACTTGCTGTTAAATTTGGAACATGGATAAAAGGCAAAACTTTCAGATCTGCGATACAATAGAATACTTATTTGTTTTTACTACTTTTTCAATTCCTGGATCGGTACATCAATAATGTGTCTGTTCTGCTTCCAATTGACAGAACATGAAGTGCGGTTTATGGAAAAGGGATCGAGCCACTATCCATATGCCGGCCGCGTAGACGTGTATATTGATGGCGCATGGGGGACCATTTGTGCTTCTGACTGGGACATGAACGATGCTGAGGTGGTCTGCCGGGAGATAGGCTTAGGCTACCCCTACGGTATCACGGTCGTTGGTGGTCCACCTGCTGGAGCCGGTGCCAAGTGCTTGTCTAGGGTAAAGTGTTACGGCCATGAAGATCTGCTCTCAGAATGCGAAGTATACCCGGTTACGCGAACAAGTAGTACAAATGACAAGGGCATAGTCTGCTATCCTCCCCCAAGTAAGTGACTTGAGGTGAAATAGATTCATGATAAAATATATAATTAACTCTTTGAATGTTGTAATAGGCCTATTGATTTCCATACTAATAATAACATATAAAAATGAAACCGTAAATCACGGTCATTGGTGAAACTCCACCAGTAGGCAACAGTGCAGTCAAACGTCTATCTCTGGTATTAAAGCGCTATGGTCACAAAAACTGACTATAGCAGATTGTACTGTTACCATACCCGACAGCGTAGACACTCTTCGACAATCTTGACAGGGGAAAATCTGCTATCCTTTACCGGGTATTTCTTTTTCTTATGAGTCGTGATAAACAGAAGCTAGGATGGATCTGATCTTTCAATATGTTTTAGGGAAGAGTATTCTGTCGGTTAAGACCGCATGTAATACTTGACCAGGGTAAGGTTTAAAACATTCGATAAACGGGAATGGATATATGAGTTATTCTTTTCCCGATTACAATTACGCACTAAGCGTAATCTGTAATTTGAATATCTTGTTTTTTGGTACGATGTTCGGGAGGAGTGTAATGAAATGGAATACTATGAAGTACATTAAAATTGTTTCTCTTAACAGCACTTGGCAATACATATTTGAATAATTTTGAGACAAAAAACGTGACTCGAATAGTTAATAAATAAACATAAGTGTACCTTAGATATGGTTTATATTTGATATTGAAAACGGAACGCCGTTATATAACACGAAACTTATTATTTAATCTCTGAACCTTTTTTCTTCCTTAATGCAGGTGATGCGGGTTTGCAGCTCAAATACGGACCTGATCAGTATTCAGGCTATGTAGAGGTCAAGCTGGCAAGTGGCAGTTGGAGTCCACTGTATATTTATTATGATGGTTGGGATTTGTCTCTGTATCAGTATATCTCGAACATCTGTCGTCAGCTTGGATTCGGGGAGCTCAACTTCTGGGATAGTTTTGAATATAGCAGCACGTACAGTATGACAAAGGTGACGAGATGTCCTTAAGGAGTTGCGCACCACCAAAGCTGCATATTTTATTCTAAAGATGATTATATTTTAGGGGTTTAATTTTCACAATAACTATGATAAAGATGACAAACAACATTTCCAGATCCGTTTAGAGGGTGCCCGAGCGTGTGTACACACCTTGTATTTCTAATGCGGCTGCTTGGTTGTGACAGTGACACAGTGATATATGGAAGTCAAAAGGCTTATTTACACATCCCAAACGAATTTTTGCATTGTAATTTATACCCCTGGAAATAAACGTAGTTTGCTATTGTCTTGAACATTATTTTTAGCGCCAACATCGTCGACACAAGGAAGGCACAGTGCGTGCACTTAAAATCGAACCATCTCCAATATAACGTTCAACTTGGTTGGCGCCATCGCCCGTACATTTCGCGCCACCTCACATAACGGCGCCGATACTATGCCGAATGCATTTGCCCCGGGGCCTGGGGTACTCACATATTAAAACATATGGGGATGTTTGCGTTGTTTATGCCCGATCTGAGAACTTTACTAAGATTCCGGATTTTTCTCACGTGACATCTTGCACTTCCGTGCTCACGGATGTAGGACAGCGACAAGTTGCGAATGCGCACTACTCCCCTAAAAATGTAGACGGTGTTTTGAATGTGTAAAAGGGCATGCAATCTCTTTGTCGTTTACAAAGAATACCCGCAATTTTTTTTCGATGTAGAAATGATGATGTTTAACGAGTATTCGCTTAGCTTTGATCCATTACCAGATGATATTGGTGCTTTCGTAGATGAATCCATCCCGGAAGCTGGAAAACAAACTCACATTGGTACTGATTTCTAAAATCGGCACACACCTAGGTTTCGGTTCAAAATGAATTGATGCCCTTCTTGAAACTTCAGTACGATTCCGAACCTTTTTTTCCTTCCTTAATGCAGGTGATGCTTGTTTGCAGCTCACAAACGGACCTGATCAGTATTCGGGCTGGGTTGAAGTCAAGCTGTCAAGTGGCAGTTGGAGTAAATTGTATCTTTATTATTATTATAATGATTTGTTGTCTCGGTATCAGTATATCTCGAACATCTGTCGTCAGCTTGGATTCGGGGAGCATGTACAGTATGACAAAGGTGACGAGATGTCCTTACGGAGTTGCGCACCACCGAAGCTGCATATTTTATTCTAAAGATGATCCTATTTAGTAATAATAATAATAATAATAAATATGATTTATAAGGCGCCAAATCCACTTGACAGTCAAATGCTCAAGGCGCAGGGGGTTTAATTATAATACTACCTATGATTATACTAGCTATGATAAAGATGATAAAGATGACAAACAACATTTCCAGGTCCGTTTCGAGGGTACCCGAGCGTTTGTGCACCCTGTATTTCTAATGAAGCTGTTTGGTTGTGACAGTAACCCAATGATAAATCGACGTCAAAAGGCCCATTTACACATCCCAAACGAATTTTTGCATTGCCATTTATACTATTGGAAATAAACCTAGTTTGTAATTGTCTTGAACGTTATTGTCAGCACCATGTCATATAAAATATGGGGGTGTGCCGCTCTAATAGGTCACTTTTCACAAAAAAAATACCTGAACATGTGTCCCATTTCTAGCAAAAATATGATTAAAAATGGTTTCGGTCTTTTCTTATTTTAGACGGCGGTCAACCTCGGCCTACCTATAGGTCAACCTCGGCCAATTAGCTAGGACAAAGTAATGTCATCAAGGTCATTCAAGGTGAATGTCTGGCAGGTCACCACAAGGGGTATCTGCTGATAATCGTTTGATAGGTCGTCATTGCTCATAGCTATCTCCATGACAGAGAAGACCTTATGTTTAGCTTATCTTCAACCAGATCATCGGGGTGTGTCTCTCAACTGTTCATCATGACAGTCAATCGCCGTCGCCATTGATCAACAAACGCTCATTCGTCGTCGCAGTTAACGTTCGTCGTATCTTCTCTCCAGTCCTTGAATTCTTCCTTCGCATTCGGAGTCTGGGCAAAGTCGAAGTATACACATTACATCTACGGAATTATAGTATTTGATCCTTGCATACTCTCATAAACTTTGAGAAGTCAAACATTTATTTAAACTTCACATCATGAGTTTATTACACGATACTGAAGTCTAGTATTGAATGACCGTATTCTGATTACAGTTACTTATTATTTTGTAAAAGACAATGATATGATGTGTCCTATTTGCGTTACATTAAATGGAATACTAACCTATATTTCTGGAATCCTTTGGTATTATTATTCAGGATTGTTAAGTAGCCTATTCTAGATTAATGAGCTAATTCAAGAGAGGCTGTCGCACGTGACATACTGAGTAAAGAAAATGACAAAATCATTTATAGTAAGGTTGAATCGGCGGCGCATATATATTGGTAAATGAAAATCAATCTGGCTTCAGGTGCGTCAAACTATTAAGTATGTCTATTGTATGTATGTTGCTCTATGTTGCCAGTTCATCAACTTGATGGCTCTGTACAAAGATAAACATATTCCAGAGTGGGTTCTGAAACATATAGTTTCCTACGATAAAACTAAACCATTGTTCTGTGCGTATCAAACATTAAATAATGATTAAATTATTAACCAAATATTGTACATATGTACACTATATAAAAAATGCATTCCAATTATTCATTATTAAGAGGATCTATAGTTTTGCACTTGTACTGGGTAAACTTTGTTGTTCTTCTCAAGCAGTAGCGACTTTCCTGTCTTTTTTTACTTACCAATTCGATAAAAAAATGACTTTTCTAGATTATAAGCAAACGTAAGACATAATTGTTTTCTTCTTTCTTCAAAAGTTATTATTCTACAGGTTCTTTTTTAATTGATTCTAGTGCATATATGTGCTGTTTTGTAAGAGCCTCGTTGCACACAGGGGCACATTACTCTACGATCGGTCTCATGTATTCTCTTAATATGGTGATAATATCTACATTAGGTAGGTTGAATGATTTCAGTCTCCTGAGTATGTATAACTTTTTTGTTACTTCTCGTCAAAAGATCAGTTGTGTGTTTATTCCATTTTAGGTCATTCTGTACGATTAAAACTATTATTTTGGATGATCTTCTTTGGTAGATATATATCATCATCGTAAGCCGCATTTTCAATGCAACAAAAAAATTGTCTCTCTTAACGGGTGGCAAGAAAAATGACCTCCATAATGTGCCTAGATGTATACAAATACATACATATATTGTATTTTCGTAAAGAGAATGCAGCATTATAGCCATTACTTATGTTTAGCATCCTGTTGCCCATGCAGATTTAATTCATGGATTGAACCTTCGAGTGCTGATATATTCTGATATGATAATAATAATGTTCAATTTTTATAGAGCGCATATTAAATAATTCGTATCCGGACACCTGCCCCCACCTGGACATCCATCCCCGGATAACCACCCCCAGTCAACTACAACCTAGGAGAAGTACACCCTATAGGACAACAGCCCCGGACAACTACCCGTAGGACAACTACCCCCTAGAAAACTATCCCCGGACAAAAACTCCCGGACAACTAACCACCCGGAAAACTACCCCTAGGATAGTTTTCCGGGGGGTAGTTGTCCTAGAGGATGATTATCGTAGAGGTAGTTGTCTGGGACGTAGTTGTCAGGGGGTTAGTTGTCCGGGGGTAATTGTCCGGGGGGTTGTTGTCCTAGAAGGGATTTTCTGGGCGGTAGTTGTCCGGGGGTAGTTGTCCCGCGGGGTAGTCGTCCTAGAGGATGGTTGCCCTAGGAGGTAGTTGTCCTAGGGTAAAGGTGACTGGGGCTAGTTATCCGGGGGTGGATGTACAGCGGGTAGGTGTGTTAGAAACCTAAATAATTGTCTCTATGCGCTTAGATACTGGAATAAGAGAGAGAGAGAGAGAGAGCGAAGAGGGTATTTTTGATTAATATTGGGTTTCACCGTTTATCACTTACAATCATCAAACCTGTTACAAAATTCACATGTTTATCTTTAAGAATTGGCATGATCGAAACTGATTTGTTTTTAGGTCGGATTTAAACTGATGTAGTGAAGGACCTTCATAACCTTTCATCTAAAAATACCCTAAGGTGTCTACACTTACTAACTCTAACTACTAACTACTAGTATCTATAGTACTGAGCACCTTTTCTTCGTGTCTGTTTCATACGCTTGGGGGGAAATATATATAGGCCTAGTATTACATAGATTACCAAAAAGTAACAGAATAATAATACATCTATAAATCCGTCATTTGAAAGCTTGTTACGATAAAGTATAGTGAGCACTGGAAAGGTCAAAAGAGACAAGGAGTAAACGTGCAAAACGAATGAGAAATCTAGAAGAGAAAAAGAAGAATATTAATTGGGCAGAATGTGAACGAAAACATTGCAATGACGAATATCGTCATTGAAATTAATGGGGCAGAATGTGAACGAAAACAAGGCAATGACGAATATCGTCATTGAAATTAATGGGGCAGAATGTGAACGAAAACATTGCAATGACGATATTCGTCATTGTAATAATGTCAGTAAATAGAAAATCATTTAATGCAAAGAATAATACTGATACAATAATACAGAAAAGAAGACTAGGGACCTGGGCTTACTTGATCCGTGGACTATTTAGGCCAGATTTAACTTTAGTCCATGGACTAACTCAATTTCATTCCTCGAAACTGATCCATGGATTAAACTCCTGACTAATAAAGTTAGTATCTGTACTAAAGTTAATTCATGGATCAATTACCATGGTTACAGTTTCTACACATGCTCACTATACACAACAGCTACTATTACAGCAACGGACATATACATCTAAATCAATTTACATGAAACAGGTGACAGGATGTATGATAGTGATACCCCCTCCCCCACACGCTCCTTGGTTTATAATACTTCATGTATGAACATGATATTGACAACCGTTTTCACTCTTTCTTCCTATCTCCGTCTCTCTCTCCCTTGTTCTCTCTCTCTCTCTCTATAACTATCTCACATCATTGTAAACTTCACATGTTCATGGTAACATCTCCCATCATTAAATATTTCTTTCTCATTTCTTTCAGTTCTCGTTTGCTCCCCCCTCTCTCTCTCTCTCTCTGTACTCTCACTGTTCTATATCCAGATATTTTTTCATGTATGATACAATTAATCCAACCGTATGCACACTAGAAATTAAAATATATGTAGGAAATATTGTATATAAGATAACCAAAATTATGTTCATTTAATTTATTCTTCCTATAACAGAAAATTGGAATTCACCATACATACGTATTATAAAATTGAAGGTAACAAAGTCAGCTAAAAAATCCTCTTAAAATTATGCTACTTGAAATGATTAAAATTTCAATGTTATGTATATCACATGATTTTTTCCCAATTTAAAAAAAAAGAGCATATGCTACATCTAAGCCCCTTTTTTCAAGGGAATCTGTTATATCATGACCTGCACCATATTATAAAATACATTATAAAACAAGATTTCTTAAAAAGAAAGTTACCCATGACTCAAAATCACCATTTTCTCCAGTGACACAATGATCATCTGATGTACAAAAGAACATCTTGATGAGTGATGGTTGCTTTGAAGTTCAACACACCAAGGACATTTCGGACTTTTTATTAACGGCTGCTTGTTTGTTACAATAACTTCATGTTATGAGGATTATATTACAAAGGTTTTGATCCCCAGTCACAGCTACAGCAGATGGGGTCTGGTTCATTGAAGAGGCTAAGTAGAACTTCATAGTCCATATATGTATGTCTGTTGAAACATTAAAAAGGTCTTGGATGTGCATTGTGGTTAAAGTGGACTTGGATGCACATTGTGATTA